GTCTTGTTACATCTTCAATTTCTTCTGTTGTTATTGGTCTGTTCAAGTTTTCTATCTCTTCCTGGACCAGTTTTGGGAGATTATGTATTTCTAGAAATTTTCCCATTTCTCTTAGATTGTCGAATTTGTTGCCATATAATCATTCATACTAGTTGTTAACGATCTTTTGTATTTCCTTGGTGTCAGTTGTTACCTCTCCTCTTTCATTTCTGATTTTGTGTATTTGGATTCTCTCTCTTTGTTTCTTGGTGAGTCTAGCTAAGGGTCCATCAATCTTGTTTATCTTTTCGAAAAACCAGCTCTTTGTTTCATTGATCCTTTGAATTGTGTTTTTTTTTTTTTGGTCTCTATGTCATTTATTTCTGCTCTGATCTTTACTATTTCCTTCCTTCTACTTGCTCTGGGGTTTTGTTCCTGTTTGCTCCCCTGTTCTTTAGGTTGTGAAGTTAGATGGTCTATTAGAAATTTTACTTGTTTTTTGAGGTAGGCCTGTAGTGCTATAAACTTCCCTCTCAGAACTGCTTTTGCTGCATCCCATAGATTTTGTGTTGTTGTGTCTTCATTTTCATTGGTTTCCAAGAAGATTCTGATTTCTTCCTTGATCTCCTCAGTTACCCATTCATTGTTTAATAACATGCTATTTACCTTCCATGTGTTCAAATGTCTTTGTATGTCCTTCTTGCAATTGATTTCTAGTTTCATGCCATTGTGATCTGAGAAGATGCATGATATGAATTCAGTCTTCTTGAATTTGTAGAGACTTAGTGTGTGCCCTAACATGTGTTCTATCTTTGAGAATGTCCCATGTGCACTTGAGAAGAATGTAAATTCTGTAGTTTTGGGGTGTAGTTCTCTGTAGATATCTATTAAATCCATTTGGTCTAGTGCTTCATTTAAAGTCTCTGTTTCCTTGCTAATTTTTTTGTCTAGAGGATCTATCCAGTGATATCAGCAGGGTGTTGAAGTCCCCTGCTATGATTGTATTGCTATCGATTTCCCCTCTGAAGGCCCCCAGAAGATTTTTAATATATTTTGGTGCTCTTATATTGGGTGCATATATGTTTAACAAGGTTATGTCTTCCTGTTGGATAGATTCTTTCAATATTACGTAGTGGCCTTCTTTGTCTCTAGTTATGGCCTTCATTTTGAAATCTATTTGATCAGATATGAGTATTGCTACCCAAGCTTTTTTTCCTTTCAGTTTGCTTGGAAGATTTTTGCCCATCCCTTCACTTTCAACCTATGTGAGTCTTTTGTTGTGAGGTGGGTTTATTATAAACAACATATAGAAGAGTCATGCTTTCTTATCCATTCAGCTACTCTGTGTCTTTTTATGGGAGTATTCAATCCATTTACATTTAAGGTGATTATTGATATGCACTTATTTATTGCCATTTTTGTTTAGTGTGGTTCTGTTTTTCTTCCCATTTGTCCTGCTAATTACAGCAGTCTTTTTAACATTTCTTGCAGTGCTGGTTTGGTGCTAATGTATTCCCTTAGCCTTTTTTGTCTGGGAAGCTCTTTATTTGACCTTCTATTTTGAATGATAGCCTTGCTGGATAGAGTAGTCTTGGATTCAGATCCTTGTTTTTCATGACCTTGATTGCTTCATGCCAGTCCCTTCTGGCCTGTAGTGTTTCTTGTGAGAAGTCAGCTGAGAGCCTTATGGGGTTTCCTTTGTAGGAAACCTGTTGCTTGTCTCTTGCTGCTTTTAGGATTCTCTGTTTGTCTTTCATTTTTGGCAGTTTGATTACTCTGTGTCTTGGTGTGGGCCTGTTTGGGTTGTTCTTACTTGGGGCTCTCTGTGCTTCTTGAACTTGAATGCCTTCTTCCTTCACCAAATTTGGAAAGTTTTCTGTCACCATTTCTTTGAATATATTCCCTAACCCTTGCTCATTTTCTTCTTCTTCGGGGACTCCAATGATGCGAATATTATTCCGTTTCCAGTTGTCCCACAGTTCTCTTAAGCTGTCTTCTTGTTTTTTAATCGTTTTTTCCTTTTGGTTGATTATTTTCTACCCTTTCTAATTCACTGATCTGGTCCTCAGCTTCCCCTACTCTGCTTTTTAGACCTTCCAATGTGTTTTCATTTCTGGTAAGTCATTCTTCATTTCTTCCTGTTGGTTTTTAATTTCCAGCTGGTTGATTTTCAACATTTCTATGTCTTTACTCATGGTGCTCATGTCCTTACACATGCTGTTGAGCTTCCTCAACATCATGGCTCTAGATTCTAGTTCTTTAACTTGCTTACCTGCACCTCATTTATCTCATCTTCTGTAGATGTCTCTTGTTCTTTCATTTGGCTTTTGTTTCTGTTTTTAATCATTTTGGCTATCACAGTGGGCTTTGGAGTCTGCCAAATTTTCCCTGTGGGTGTTGGTGTTCTCCTGTTTGTGGCTCCCTCTTCTGGGTTTGGATAAGGCAACGAGGACCCACTTTAAACACCACTGTCAAGTCTTAGTGTTGCTAGCCCAGGGAATGGTAGTTATGCTCTAGCTTTTTTTGCCTAGAGGCTATTAGTAGAAGTCACCTGAAGAACCTTGGTTTCTGAGTTGCCTGAAAAACTCCCTCAGGTGCTCAGTGTAAAAGGATTTCCTGAGGGTGGGGCAGCTGCTGGTTGTTAATGGGCCTCAATTAGCATTGCAGTGGCCACCAGGTGGGGTTGAATCTCCCACCTGGTGGCCACTGCAATGCTAATTGAGTCCCATTAAATGCCTAAGATGAGTGGCTGCTGCCGATTTAGCCTCTGTCCAGACTCTGCGTGGTGGAGCCACCTGGGACTTTTAACCCGAGTGTGCTGCTTCCAGCCAGCGGACGCCGAGGCTGTGGCACCAGCCGAGGGTGTAGCACCCAGCCGAGTTCGCAGGACTCAGCTGAGGGTGTAGCCCTCAGCTAAAGCCACAGGACCCAGCAATTCGCAGCAGCTTCCAGCCGGGTCCACTGGTGCCCGCCCAGGCCGCTGTGGACCGTGGGCTCTTGGCCTCCTCTTGTGTCCTCACAAGCCTACCAGGATTGAGTCGGTGTCCCTGGTTCTGTGGTCCTCCAAGGTGTCTTTCGGCTGCCCCTTCCTGATGATTTGTCTTTATTTTCGTTGTAAATCCAGTTCGGTCCTGGGAGATGGTCCGTGTATCTTCCATTCACTCCGCCGCCATTTTTTCTCTTTCCAACGTGTTAATATCAAGAATTTTTTTTTAAATACTACAATCAATGCCAACAAATTGGACAATCCAGAAGAAAATGGATGATAAATTCCCAAAAAGTACAATCTTCTAAGACTGAATAAAACAATTTGAACAGTCTGATTGCAACCAACAAAATTGAAGCAGTAATAAAAAACTCTCAACTAATAAAAGTGCTGGACCAATGGCTTCACAAGTGAATTTTAATAAAAATTCAAAGAAAAATTAACACCTATCCTTCTGAAACCTTTAAAAAAAAGTGAACAGAAGAGAAGCCTCCCAACCTCATTTTACAAGGCCACTATTAACCTGACTCCAAACCAGACAATGATACAAATAAAGGAAGAAAGAAAATAACAGGCAAATATCCCTGATGAGCATAGACGCAAAACTCCTCAACAAAATATTAGCAACCCAAAATCATCAATACATTAGAAAGGTCACAAACCTTGACCAAGTGAGATTTATTCCTGGGATGTAAGGTTAGTTCAATATCAGCAAATCAAGTAATGTGATACATGACATAAACAAAGTGAAGGATACAAATCCCATGATCATACTAACAGACACAAAAAGTGTTTGATAAACTCCAACATACAATTATGATAAATAAAAAAAGTAAAAAACCTCTCAGCAACATTGGAGTAGAGGGAACATACCTCAACATAATAAAGGCCATATATGACAAACCCACAGCTAATATTCTACATAACATGGAAATGCTTAAAAGCATTTTCCTTAAGATCAAGAAGAAGACAAGGATATCCACTTCCACCATTTTTATTCAACACAGTGTTGAAAGTCATAGCCACAACACTCAAATAAGAAATATAAATAAAAAGCATCTAAATTGTAGTGGAAGAATTAAAATTGTCATTATTTGCAGATGACATGATACCATATATAGAGAACCCTAAAATCATAAAACTATTAGCACTGATAAATGAATTCAGTGAAGTATCAATATACAAAATTAATATTTAGAAATAGGTTGAATTTTATTTGCCAATAATGAACTATCAGAAAGAGAAATTAAGAAAACAGACCCATTTATATTTATATCCAAAAATTAAAATACCTAAGGATAAATTTAACCAAGGAGATAAAGACCTGTACTCGAGAAAATTATAAAACACTGAAGAAGGTACAAATAAATGGAAGCATAAACTGTGCTCATGAGTAGGAAGAACTAAAATTGTTAAAATGTCCATACTGCCCAAAGCAATGTACAGATTCAATGATATCCTTATCAAAATACCAGTGGTATTTTTTACAGAACTAGAACAAACAATCCTATTATAGCCTGAAATTCATGATATTGTCCAACTTTCCAGTTCTCATTTTAGCCACAGTGAATGGTTGTGCAATCCACCTGCACCAAGCTGTTTCGTTTCCTCATTCTTTTGCTCATGTTGTTGCTTCTAGTTGGAATACTGTACCTTCCCTCTTAAACCAGCTCAATAAGTTCAGAAATCATCTCCAGGAAGGCCTCTTTTGACACCCTCACCCATGTATTATAAAAAATCTTCTATCTCTGTCACTACTTTTATCATCTAATACTAAAATCATCAACAAGTCCATCTTTCTCTCCAGGTAAGTTGCTCAAGGCAGGAACTATGTCAGACTGAGACCCTTAGAGCATGGCACTAAGGTAGCAAGTGTTTGGTACATGCCAAGTAAACAGCAGGACTTTTTAATGTGAGTTAAAATTTATAACTCGATTATCCAACTTTTACTACATGGAGCAATATAAATTATCTCTCCAGGGAAATACAGTATTTGACTAATTTTAAATACTATGTATATGACATTTGCACTTACCTAAGTTGCTGTATATTGCACTACAGGGATTCAGGCTCACAGGATCTGAAATGTCTTCTTTTTCCTCTTCCCTTTCCAGTTCAGGTAGCGGCAATGCTGGTGTGCAGCCTCCACCATCTTGCTTCACAATAGTTCTTGGGTCCCAAAGAGAAAAATCTTCTGTAACTTCATGGGTCACATGACTGAAACAAATCAGACCACTGTCACCCTGGCATTTAAATATCTTGCTAAAATTTAGATTTATGGATGGCATATACTTGCCATAAGTGTAAATAACTGGTCCAACAATCTAGCAATGGGCCATAAGCCACGTTTATATAAGTTCTTCAAGCAGACTGACACTTCTATTTATCTTGATTTATACATATTGAGAAATCAGTTTAGTAGAGGAGGTATGGTAATCTTAGAGGGAAGCTTGAGAAATGCAGGTTAAGAACTGTAACACTTTTGAACTTTTTAATTTATTTTTTCCTTTATTGATTTTGGAGAGAGAGAGTAAGGGAGAGGGATAGATAGAAACATTGATGAGAGAGAAAATCGATTGGCCGCCTCCTGCATGCCCCACACTGAGGATCGGGGCCCACAACCTGGGCATGTGCCATTACTGGGAACTGAACTGGTGACCTCCTGCTACATGGGTCAATGTTCAACTGGTGAGCCACACTGGCTGGGCTGAAACACTTTTTTTTTTAAGGCAGGAGGTAGCAATGTTGGTAGTAGCTGAAGTTGAAATGCTTAACTGGTTAAAGACAAATATACTCAAGTATTTAGCATATTTATTATACTATAGTACTATAATACTATAGTAAATATCAAATAGTATTTATTTAGTATATAGTATTTATTGAACACTAAAATATTTACTAGGGTAAAAGATCAGAAATAAAGTTAAGATTAGAATATTTAAATAAAAAAGTTATGCCACTATTTTACTAGGTAAATTGAGGCCAGGAAGGTCCTTGGTGCCAGTAGGACAGAGCATCAACTTATTCTTATATGCACGCAATAGGCAGGGCAAATGAAAAAGGAAATTTTGCATTCTAGTTACTCTTATTTACTAAAATGAATCCAAACCATCCTATTGGCCATATACCAGAGTATGGTCATCCATAATGCTTTGAGGTTCCAATCTTGTTTCACTTCTCTGCCTGCTCATTTGCTTATAACTATCTTTTCTAATCTTCCCCACTCTCCACCTTGCCCCAACTGCCAATTCTGTTGCTGCAATATATAAGGGGATGAAATGGTAATTAAACACTGGTGGAGAAACTGGCTTAGTTATAAAATCTCAATGGGGTGGCCAATGAACTAAATTCAAAAATCAGACATATTTAATGGTTTCTGGGTCCAGTGAAAATATTCCTAGAAACACATTCACCAATTCTTCCTGTTTTATTTTTTTAATGGACGAAGAGAAAGAAGGAAAGGAAACATATATTATTACATGTTATTTCTGGATTTTGAGTTGGCAGTGAGTCATGGTGACATTTTAAAGTTCCTTTAAAAGAGGTACTCTGATCATGTGTCATCAGAACATATGTCACTTGGGGTTCTGAAGGAGAAGGAGCACCTTCTTATCCATCTTTTATCATGCAAATTATGCATGTATTTGAACAGAAAAATAAACCTTGAAATCTGCTGGACATATAACTTGAAAAATATTGCTTCAAAGCTGGCAGAGCCAGAAGAATTTCTGTACTGGGATTGAGCAATGAGCTGGAGGTTCTGTTATGGGATGTGGCTCTTAAGGACAGTGGTGAGGTGGGCAGGAATCACTACACTAGCAGCCAACAGGGTGATTTACATAAAGAAAATCTCACACAGTAGAGCATGCTGCCTCTTTTAAATGGGTTATCCTTGGGTAAACCCAAAGCAAGGCTTTAAACAAAGGTGCTTTCTCTTAATATGAAGCATTATAAAAGCAAGGTAACAGGGGATGTAAAATTGGCAGTGGAGTGAATGGAAGCTACACAGACCATCTCCAAGGACCAAACTGGAATTACAACTAAAATAAAGACAAATCATCGAGAAAAACCAACAGAAAAGCAGCTGGAGAGAACCTGTATAACCATGGATGGAAAGACGACACCAAATCGAACCTATAGAAACTGCAGAGGTGCAAGACAGGGTGGGTTGGGAGCCTATGGACAGCAGCTGAGGGCTGTTTAAGTTGTGAGCAGTTTCCTTGAGGGTTCAAATCTGAAGAAGCCAGCTCCACAGTGCAGAGCCCCCAAGAAAGGAGAACCAAAGCAGGACTATACCATAACACATAATGATTAAATTGTCAAAAATTAAAGACAAAGAGATAATCCTAAAGGCAGCAAGAGGTTACCTACAAAGGAACCTTCATAAGGCTCTCAGCTGACTTCTCAATAGAAACACTACAGGCCAGAAGGGCATGAAGTAATCAAGGTAATGAAAAGGATCTGAATCCAAGACTACTCTACCAAACAAGGTTACCATTCAAAACAGAAGGTGAAATAAAGAGTTTCCCAGACCAAAAAAGGCTAAGGGAATATATTAGCATCAGACCAGTGTGCAAGGAATATTAAAAGGAATGTTGTAATTAGCAAAAGAAATAGGAGAAAAATATAACCAAAATAAACAAAAATGGCAATAAGTAAGTACATATCAATAATCTTAAATGTAAATGGATTAAATACTCCCGATAAAAACAGAGTAGCTGATTGAATTAGAGAGCATGACTCATATATATGTTGTTTACAAGAGACCCACCTTACAACAAAACACTCACATAGCTTAAAAGTAAAGGGATGGCAAAAAAATCTTCCAAGAAAATGGACAGGAAAAAAGAGCTGGGGCAGCAATACTCATATTCGATAAAATAGACTTCAAAATGAAGGCCATAACTAGAAACAAAGAAGGCCACTATATCATATTGAAAGAGAAGGCCACTATATCATATTGAAAGGATCTATCCAACAGGAACATATAACCTTGATAAACATATATGCACCCAATATAGGAGCACCAAAATACATTAAAAATCTAGAGGGCTTCAGAGGAGAAATCGAAAGCAATACAATCATAGCAAGGGACTTTAACACCCTACTGACATCACTGGATAGATCCTCCAGACAAAATATTAACATGGAAACATAGACTCTAAATGACGTACTAGAGCAAGTGGATTTACAGAGAATTACACACCAAAAATGTAGAATTCACATTCTTCTTAAGAGCACATGGGAAGATGAAAAAACTGGTGGCGGAGTGAATGGAGCTACACAGACCATCTCCCAGGACCACACTGAATTTACAACAAAAATAAAAACAAATTGTCAGGAAAGGACAACCGAAAGACACCTTTGAGGACCACATAACCAGGGACACCGACTCAATCCTGGTAGGCTTGTGAGGATGCAAGAGGGGGCTGGAAGGCCATGGTCCACAGCGGCCTGGGCTGGGACCAGCGGACTTGGCTGGGACCAGGGGACTCGGCGGGAAGTTGCTGCCACCTCGGCTGCGACCACGGCTGAGTCCTGCGAACCCAGCTGCATGCTAAGCCCTCCGCTGGTGCCACATGGACTGACTGGGACCAGGGGACTCGGTGGGAAGCTGATGCCACCTCGGCTGTGACCGCGGTTGACTCCTGCGAACCCAGCTGCGTGCTAGGCCCTCGGCTGGTGCCACACAGACTGGCTGGGACCAGGGGACTCTGCTGGAAGTTGCTGCGACCGCGGCTGAGTCTTGTGGCTTCGGCTTAGTACTACGCTCTTGGCTGGTGCACAACCTCGGCGGCCCTTGACTGGAAGCAGTGCCCTCAGGTTAAAAGGCCCAGGCGGCTCCACAACTCAGAGTCCGGAAAGACGCTAAATTGGCAGCAGGCCCTCATCTTAGGCTCCGGCAGAGGGAAGGCAGACTGGACTGGGACTGTGTGGGGACATTCAGGTTTTGGAGTGTGCTCACAGCTTTTGCTGAATGCAGCCACGCAGGATTGTGGTCATCTTACTCCTTCCCAGGGCCCTGGGGAGAGGCGGCGGCCCCTCCCATGGAGATTCAACCCCACCTGGTGGCCACTGCAATGCTAATTGAGGCCCATTAACAACCAGCAGCTGCCACACCCTCAGGAAATCCTCTTACACTGAGTACCTAAGGGAGTTTTACAGGCAACTCAGAAACCAAGGTTCTTCAGGTGACCTCTACTAATAGCCTCCAGGAAAAAAAAGCTAGAGGATAACTACCATTCCCTGGGCTAGCAACACTGACCAGGAAAGCTAAGACTTGACAGTGGTGTTTAAAGTGGGTCCTCCCTGCCTTATCCAAACCCAGAAGAGGGAGCCACAAACAGGAGAACACCAACATCCACAGGGAAAATTTGGCAGACTCCAAAGCCCACTGTGATAGCCAAAATGATTAAAAACAGAAACAAAAGCCAAATGAAAGAACAAGAGACCTCTACCGAAGATGAGATAAATGAGGTGAAGGTAAGCAAGTTAACAGAACTAGAATCTAGAGCCATGATGTTGAGGAAGCTCAACAGCATGTGTAAGGACATGAGCACCATGAGTAAAGACAGAAATGTTGAAAATCAACCAGCTGGAAATTAAAAACCAACAGGAAGAAATGAAGAATGACATATCAGAAATGAAAAACACATTGGAAGGTCTAAAAAGCAGAGTAGGGGAAGCTGAGGACCGGATCAGTGAATTAGAAGACAGGCTAGAAGAAATCAACCAATCAGAAAACAAAAAGGGAAAAACGATTAAAAAACAGGAACACAGCTTAAGAGAACTGGGGGAAAACTGGAAATGGAATAATATTCGCATCATAGGAGTCCCCGAAGAAGAAGAAAATGGGCAAGGGTTAGAGAATATATTCAAAGAAATGGTGACAGAAAACTTCTCTAATTTGGTGAAGGAAGAAGACATTCAAGTTTAAGAAGCCCAGAGAGCCCCAAGTAAGAACAACCCAAACAGGCCCACACCAAGACACATAGTAATCAAACTGCCAAAAATTAAACACAAACAGAGAATCCTAAAAGCAGCAAGAGACAAGCAACAGGTTACCTACAAAGGAAACCCCATAAGACTCTCAGCTGACTTCTCACAAGAAACACTACAGGCCAGAAGGGAATGGCATGAGGTAAACTAGGTCATGGAAAACAAGGATCTGAATCCAAGACTACTCTACCCAGCAAGGCTATCATTCAAAATAGAAG